CGTAAAAATTATGTCATAAGGTACCACAATGAAAGTGCTGGCATCAGTTAACCATTGAAAAATTATGTAAAAGCTCTGCCACTGCACCTGCCGGAGTGCCAGACCTCCAAAGATGCCCTTCCGACACCCCTAAACTATCTCATCGGGGTACCACGACGCGACCACCACAACATAATAGCCAAGATCACTCTAAAAATAGATCACAAGGTCTGCCAGGCCTAAACTTGCCGCATCCTAGTGTTTCAGACATTTGAAGTTGTAGGTCCAGTGTATGAAAAATGACCTATATCTTTCCCCGTGTTTGATTTTGATGGTGCCTTAATACGAAATGCTCTCCATAATAAGGAGCTTCAGTCATATATGACAGTTGGATGGAGGTTTCAGTTTTGAACGCAATCCTGTCAAAAAGTTTGAAATGGAGTTTGGTCTATGAAAACTGGCCTATATCTTATTCCCCGGGTTTGATTTTGATGGCGCCTTAATATGAAATGCTCTCCATAACTAGGAGCTTTGAGTCATATAGGTCAGTGAGGAGGTCTCTGTATTGTACACAATCCTGTCAAAAGTGTGAAATTGTAGGTAAAGTGTATGAAAACTGACCTATATCTTTTCCCCACTGGTTTGATTTTGATGGTGCCTTGGTATGAAATGCTCGTAATGATTAGAGATTCGATTCGTATAGGTCAATTGGATAGAAGGTCTCTGTTCTGTGCACAATCCTCCTAAATATGAAAATATTCTATAACTTCTGCAGATTTTATCAGTTAAAATTGTCATATCATAAGGAACTCGAATAAATGTGCATCAGCTTACCATTGACAAATTATGTTAAAAACTTGGTCTGCCACTGCTCACTCAGCCGGAAGTCCTTAGATGAGATAGGTTAGGGGTGTCGGAAGGGTATATTGGAGGTCTCCCAGGACTTCTGGCAGAGTGCAATGGCAGACCAAGTTTTCTTAACTCAATTTATCAATGGTAGCTGATCTTCTTTTATCATTCAGGTACCTTATGAAATTACAATGTTAACGGAAAAATCTCAATCCTGCTAAACATGAAAATATTGGATATGTTCTGCAGATTTTTGCCGTTAATATTGTCATATCATAAGGTACCCGAATAAAAGTGCCAGCATCAGCTTACCATTGATAAATTGAGTTAAGAAAACTTGGTCTGCCATTGCGCACTCTGCCGGAAGTCCTTGTCAGACCCCTCGGATATGCACTTCCGACACCTAACCTATCTCACCCCTACCTAACCACTGGTTTGATTTTGATGGTGCCTTGGTATGAAATGCTCGTAATGATTAGGAGATTCGATTTGTATAGGTCAATTAGATAGAAGGTCTCTGTTCTGTACAATCCTCCTAAATATGAAAATATTCGATAACTTCTGCAGATTTTATCAGTTAAAATTGTCATATCATAAGGAACTCGAATAAAGTGCTTGCATCAGCACCATTGACAAATTATGTTAAAAAACTTGGTCTGCCACTGCGCTCTGCCGAAGTCCTTAGATGAGATAGGTTAGGGTGTCGGAAGGGTATATTTGGAGGGTCTCCCAGGACTTCTGGCAGTGCTGTGCAGACCAAGTTTCTTAACTCAATTTATCAATGGTAAGCTGATCTTTAACACTAATCATTCAGTACCTTATGAAATTACAATGTTAACGGAAAAATCTCAATCCTGCTAAACATGAAAATATTGGATATGTTCTGCAGATTTTTGCCGTTAATATTGTCATATCATAAGGTACCCGAATAAAAGTGCCGGCATCAGCTTACCATTGATAAATTGAGTTAAGAAAACTTGGTCTGCCATTGCGCACTCTGCCGGAAGTCCTTGTCAGACCCCTCGGAGTATGGTCTTCCGACACTAACCTATCACCCCTACCTAACCACTGGTTTGATTTTGATGGTGCCTTGGTATGAAATGCTCGTAATGATTAGGAGATTCGATTTGTATAGGTCAATTAGATAGAAGGTCTCTGTTCTGTGCACAATCCTCCTAAATATGAAAATATTCGATAACTTCTGCAGATTTTATCAGTTAAAATTGTCATATCATAAGGAACTCGAAAAAAGTGCTTGCATCAGCTTACCATTGACAAATTATGTTAAAAACTTGGTCTGCCACTGCGCACTCTGCCGGAAGTCCTTAGATGAGATAGGTTAGGGGTGTCGGAAGGGTATATTGGAGGGTCTCCCAAGGACTTCTGGCAGAGTGCGCAATGGCAGACCAAGTTTTCTTAACTCAATTTATCAATTGTAATGCTGGCACTGTCATTCAGGTACCTTATGAAATTACAATGTTAACGGAAAAATCTCAATCCTGCTAAACATGAAAATATTGGATATGTTCTGCAGATTTTGCCGTTAATATTGTCATATCATAAGGTACCCGAATAAAAGTGCCGGCATCAGCTTACCATTGATGAATTGAGTTAAGAAAACTTGGCCTGCCACTGCGCACTCTGCCGGAAGTCCTTGTCAGACCCCTCCGAATATGCACTTCCGACACCCCTAACCTATCTCACCCCTACCTAACCACTGGTTTGATTTTGATGGTGCCTTGGTATGAAATGCTCGTAATGATTAGGAGATTCGATTTGTATAGGTCAATTAGATAGAAGGTCTCTGTTCTGTGCACAATCCTCCTAAATATGAAAATATTCGATAACTTCTGCAGATTTTATCAGTTAAAATTGTCATATCATAAGGAACTCGAATAAAAGTGCTTGCATCAGCTTACCATTGACAAATTATGTTAAAAACTTGGTCTGCCCCAGCGCACACAGCCGGAACTCCTTAGATGAGATAGGTTAGGGGTGTCGGAGGGGTATATTTGGAGGGGTCTCCCAAGGACTTCTGCAGAGTGCGCAATGGCAGACCAAGTTTTCTTAACTCAATTTATCAATGGTAAGCTGATGCTTCTTTTATTCGGGTACCTTATGATATGACAATATTAACGGCAAAATCTGCAGAACATATCCAATATTTTCATGTTTAGCAGGATTGAGATTTTTCCGTTAACATTGTAATTTCATAAGGTACCCGAATGACAGTGCCCATCAGCTTACCATTGATAAATTGAGTTAAGAAAACTTGGTCTGCCATTGCACTCTGCCAGAAGTCCTTGGGAGACCCCTCCAAATATACCCTTCCGACACCCCTAACCTATCTCATCTAAGGACTTCCGGCTGAGTGAGCAGTGGCAGACCAAGTTTTTTTAACATAATTTGTCAATGGTAAGCTGATGCAATCACTTTTATTCGAGTTCCTTATGATATGACAATTTTAACTGACAAAATCTGCAGAAGTTATAGAATATTTTCATATTTAGGAGGATTGTGCACAGAACAGAGACCTATCAATTGACCTATACGAATCAAATTTCCTAATCATTACAGCATTTCATACCAAGGCACCATCAAAATCAAACCAGTGGGGGAAAGATATAGGCCAGTTTTCATACACTTTACCTACAATTTCACACTTTTTGACAGGATTGTGTACAATACAGAGACCCTCCTCCTCACTGACCTATATGACTCAAAGCTCCTAGTTATGGAGAGCATTTCATATTAAGGCGCCATCAAAATCAAACCTGGGAATAAGATATAGGCCAGTTTTCATAGACCAAACCTCCATTTCAAACTTTTTGACAGGATTGCGTTCAATACTGAAACCCTCCACCCAACTGTCGTGTATGACTCGAAGCTCCTTATTATGGAGAGCATTTCGTATTAAGGCACCATCAAAATTAAACACGGGGAAAAGATATAGTCATTTTCATACACTGGACCTACAACTTCAAATGTCTGAAACACTAGGATGCGGCAAGTTTAGGCCTGGCAGACCTTGTGATCTATTGTCAGAGTGATCTTGGCTATTATGTTGTGGTGGTCGCGTCGTGGTACCCGATGAAATAGTTTAGGGGTGTCGGAAGGGCATCTTTGGAGAGGTCTGGCAAGCACTTCCGGCAGGGTGCGCAGTGGCAGACCAAGCTTTTTTTACATAATTTTTCAATGGTTAACTGATGCCAGCACTTTCATTGTGGAAATGACTCTGAAAATATCGATTATTTTATGTTTCGGCAGGATTGGCTCTGGCAGACCTGGGTCATACGACTTGTTTAAGTCTTGGTTAACGATCCAAACCTAGCCTATCGTGGTACCTTATGAGATAGCCACTTACCCCCTGGGCTCTCGAACTATAAGAAGCGACTAAGGGATTTGTGAAGTGTGTTACAATTTTAGGCGACAGGCTGACAACTTGTCACTGACCACTGTAGATAGTGATACACAATATTCTGAATGACTCTCAAGCTTTTGTCAGGTGGGGTAACTGCTGCTTTTACGGCCGTTTAGGCGTGATATATTATGTACATGTGTATGTAAATATGAGTAAAAATTTAGAAAATGTTAAGCAAGTATATCTTGTCCACTAACGCGTGCTTAATTCGCAGGTTGGATTAGAACCGCGGTAGCCCAGTTGGTTTGGGCGTCGGCAGTACAGATGCCGAAGGTCGCAGGTTCAAATTCTGCCTGCGGTGGAAAATTTTGCAAGTTTTCCAAAAATTGTTTACCTAACACGAGAAGTGTTTTAATTAAAAAATATTGTTTTTATTTCTGTTTTCTTTTTAAAGCAAACAATCTGGGCTATCTGTGAAATCTGTGAACTACCGGCGGAACCCTCTTCAGTGGCAGACACGGCGTGGCACCGCCACACCCAAGTGGTACCTACCGGCTTGATGGTACTTACCGACCTCGCGGCAGGTTATTATCCAAATAATTCCGCAACTCAACTTTCGTAATTACAAAAATAAAATAAGACTCGGAGAACATGCAACAGCGTTTTTGTTAGGTTTGCTGCCCGTCTGTAAGTAGGTATAAAAAAAAATTAACATAAAATGTGGATACAACTATCAACAAGTTTTTAACCCACCTAAATATCAATAAAATATATCTCTTATTCGCTTAATTCATTCGGAGGATAGTATAGAACCGTGGTAGCACAGTTAGTAGTGGCGTTGGCTGGCTGTACATACATATGCCGAAGGTAGCAAGTTCAAACCCTGCCTGCGGTGAAAAATTTAGCTAGCTTTCCAAAAATTTACTTAAGACGTAAGATACAAGAGTCTACACCGAAAATAACGAAACAACTCAACGGTACGTATAAAATACATATTAAATCAAAATTCATATGAACCACTCTACATGTCTCCACCAATCAGAGGCTCTAATTATTATTACCTATTCAGAGTAATTGCTGGAAGTGCTCAAGCCATTTATTTCCTTCATTCAATTTCCCCCAAGTCATAATTTATAATATGATTCCCATTGAATATTTGATGCGGAGTTTACAAAGCCTTTCTCGCATTATCGTGTTACAAACAACTGTTACATGTGTAGCAAAGGGGGGTTAAGGCCAGAAACACACGTTACGTTCGCTTGTGCGTTAACGCTGCGTCGACGGATAGTGCCTGAGAAACATCATCATCTTCCTGCCCTTATCCCAATTACTTGGGGTCGGCGCAACACGTTTTGTTGAACACAAAATCGTGTTGCAAAGGCTTTGGCTTAATTTTACGACCGGCCGCCTACCAGACGTCAACCCTCCTTGGAATGCTTTTGTGGTGGATTACCCGCCACCATACGGTTGGCCCTGGCTGTTTGGGTTAGGTTTACGCCTCGGTCGCTTCTTACGACCCCGCGGGAAGAGAGGGGGTGGTGCTATTCTACTCTGCCGGAACCACACGACTATTAGGTTTCGGCTATACGGTAGAAACAGTTTGACATAAACCACATTTGTATGAGAATAAGGTCACAATTCGTGGCTACGCAACATCCAAAGAGGACCGGTATCGCGATTGCATAAGACGAAAAATTGATTTGAATAGCTGACAGTCAACCTTCACTAGTTGGAGCGGCACTATTCGAAGAAGAAGAAGAATACAAAAATAACGCATAATTCACGTCACGTGTATCTCTCGCCTTAATAACACCCCCTAAACGCCACCCTGTTTAATGTTCTCGCAAAATACAACAATAAGGCAAAGATTCATCATCCTCGCAAAGTGTGATGCCGTTAATTTTTGCTCCAGAGCTTTCTGAATCGTAAAGAGTAAGATAATTAAGAATGATGGATACCTTAAGTTTATCGCGGGTGGCAGAGACGCCTAACTCACAACTTCCTTATCTGTGCAAAGTTCTCGTTTTTCTGGATAGAATATGCTGGTGCAAGGTAAAAGCAGCGGTAATAATTATAGTTACCTACATAATGTTTTACTCTTTTATGATTATTGCTGTACTTTTGGCGCCTCGTGATATTGAAAACTGCTAGTTCTTATATCAAACAAAATTGATTATCTATCGCAAACAATCACGTTATATATTTGTAGCATTTCGCTACGCGTGGGCTACGGCGTAGTAACTACCGTAGTAATTGGTTACGACCGTTTCTCCAGTTTGTTTCTTGTCCTTTTAATATTACTCATGTGTAGATAGTCTCAAAGGTATTGACGTACATAGACTCAAATATTAACCTACAAACATAGATTCAGATATTTACTTACAGAAATACGGCGAGACTCACGTATTGTTTTCCCAAAACGTAAAAAAAATTACAATAGGAGATAAAACAGTTTATAAATCAATTATGTACTTTTCTGCTTTACTTTCAATTCGCAATATTGTTTTTCCCAGAACAATTAAATTTCAGATAAAAAATATACATTTTTCAATAGAAAATATTTTTCAGGACCTAGTATCTACAAATCTGTAAGTAATTGTTACCTGGCTGCATGTAAATTTAATACCTTTGCCACGAACTAACCGGAACAGCGAGTGTGCGATACAATAAAGAGCACCCACTTCATAATTCCATGTCAGGCAGCTCTGTGCCTTTGTTCCTCCGGATATGAGTAACTTTGACTTTTAACCTCATACGGCAGGGGCTTATTTTATTTTCTTTACGTGGCAATTTTCAAACATTTTACTAAAATTACACAGTTCTTCTTTTTCGTGTCGCTGACAAGCTCAACGCCTCAAATTTCATTCGACCAGTATTAGTTTGGTCACACTCACAGCATCGACAGTGGCTTGCATTAGCACAGGTAAAAATTAGACGCCTTATAGTTTTATTGAAAGTCTTCTTAGCAGTGTGGCAGTGGCTAAGAATACTCCACCCCTAGTCTACTCAGGATGTTTTGTTAAATGTGACGAAGAGTTTTTGACCTTGGTTGAATGTCTGTCGACTATTGTCAACCGCATGGAGACGGTGATATCACCTTCAATAGTATTCCCGAAGAAGGTTGACATCAGGCAGGCGGTCTGTCATACATAAAACATTGCCAAATTATTTTGCTACATACATACATACTGATTTTGTGCTCTATCAAAACATGTTGCGCCGATCCCAACCAATTTGAGATAAGGGTAGGCAGATGATGATGGCAGTAATGATAATTAAGGAAGCAGGTACCACAAACTTGCCATGCGATTTTTCAGTATTCTGCCGGTCTGGTGTTACTGATACGAAACCACATCTAGAACACACGATTTCTGCTGTCCGTTTCCAAAATGCCTTCATAAAACTAAAATAGAAGAAGAATGTGAAGATAACCTATACTGAATCCAACAAATGAAATTATGAGTGATCAATATAAGTCGCTGGGTATCTATATCAACCTATATTACTTGTTATCTGCATCGACCATTACAAAGCAGGCGATAATAAATGCATTGTTTCAGAGGGATTTGGCGGATTTGCAATAAATTCCACCTGATATTCGGTAGCATTTAATTTACTACTTTACGCAATTGTTGTGCTTTTTGTAGCTGTGTTAAGGGTAAGTTCTTTTAACCTTAACATTATATTCGAGATATATGTGTGTTATTTATTTGTCGTCGTTAGCGGCAGAAGAAGGCTGTATTGCATTGGATGGCAAAAATAGTAAATCGTTTCCTGGAGCCTACGTCCAGCTGTGGACTACTATAGGGTACAGTATACAATTATGTATGTCTTTGGCGGCACCATGACTATATTGGAATCATCTAAAAAATTGCTTAAGGGGTAAACCAGATCTTCGAAATGAACAATTTTATATGTGAAACAAAGGCCTAACGTAACTGTGCACTTGGCAGCTGTGCTGCTCGATGACTGTGCTCGAAAATTTGTTTCCAAATCAAATAAAACCAAACCAATCCTTTTTTCAATATTTGTGTACCTTTAAATTCGGTTTGAATTTTCAACTTGTAAAACTAATTCTGTCATTTATATTCATAGCTGTTTATTGCAAACATTAACCAACTGCAGGTTAGTTCATTGTTTGAGGGTATTATTGCATTTCAAAGTAAATTTCAGTATGTGACAAACTAGGTATTTTATATAGTTTTGTGTGAAAATTCAAAATATAATCTATTAATAGAGAAACACTTTGAGAAACACGCATTGTTAGAGGGTATTTCAAGATTTGACAGTAATTTCAGTATATGACAGATACAAAGTGCTGAAGAAAATTAGTATTCAAAGTATTATCTAACAATAGAAAATTACGTTAGAACTTTTACGTACTTGCGGTATTGTAAATAAAAGCTCCTTTTATTCAAAGTTCAGCGCGCAGCTGTCTTTTCTGTTGTGTTTGTAAAAGCATCGGTGGGAGATTAATGACGTTTTGTTCTGTTCTCTCGTCTAGCAACGGTGTTCGCGGTAGCATTGTGTTCGAGTAATATCTCACTTGGATACGTGTTTGAAATTCTTTTCGAATTTTATAACATGTATAACTGTAACAGTATGTAAAAGAACGCAGTTTTACATTTAAAACAGTCTAAGAATTACAACACCCTATTTTGATCTAAAATTGTTCAAAATCTACTATGAAGCTATTGAGTGTGCAGCAAACTTGTGCGTTTGCCAGCTTAAAACATGACAAAAACTTTGTAATATTATGAGGCCCATCCCATGTACATTGCAATTTAGCTTAACCTAGGATAAAAACATATTCTTGTGACTGAGTTTCTGACTCTGGTTTTAGTAGGCCTGAGTTTCACGCGTCTGTATGTCAGTGTGTCTACGATTCTTTGAGGCTACGTATCTCCGAAACGACTAAACCGATTTTAATGCGGTTTCGTTTATATAAAAGCTTATATAGTCGGGATGGTTCTTAGCTATATTTCATGAAAATCTGACGATGGAGACGGAAGGTAGACTAGGAATCTCTATACGTACTATATCCCCGTGTTTGAGCTAATTTGACTGGAAGTTGTCATATCTTTCAAGTCCTGCATGAGCATGACATTATGGAGGTCCTACCTACCTATTTTAAAATGTGATCTATGACACGAGTATGCAATGCGAGTATGACTTGAACGGCCGTACTTGTGTTTATTTGTTTTATTTCAGAAATGCATAGGTACGTAAAAGATCTATTACAAATACATCGTTCAACCTGCATTTGAGTAAATATTGTGCCGAATTGTGCAGTTTAAACTAGAATCTCACGTGATGTCTGTTTGTTCGTCATTCATTCGATCCTCCACCCTACCTTCTAACGAACACACTTTATGTCAAATGGCATTGCACAACGCTGCGTCGATGTCAAACCGTTTGACATAATACCGTATTCCGTATAAAAATAAGGTGAAAAATCAAAAACCCACGCACGTTTATTTATTTTACCATTTATTACACAACGCACACAAGAACATTATACAAAAGACAAAAACATAAATATATACGAAATAACAGCTTATTTCTAGATAGAAATTGCTTCCAGCCATCCTACGGAAGTGAGACATTTTACTAAGAAAGACAGAGAAAATGTGTACAACAGCATAACTAAATATATTAATATCTACCTACTGGTTACTTTATTATCACTACGCAAAAAATTGATTTTGTAAATAAAACAGAATTCGTACAGTATATTTTATTCTTGCCACACTACAAACGTGCGAAAGCAGACGATGTAGTAATTGCGGGAGATCCAATTGGCTCGCACCGACAGTATGTCCAATTAACACTTCTCTACTTCAGTTCTTGAAGACAAGACACTAGATCCTGAAATGGTACTAATTGTTTTTAGCT